AGGACGGGGAGGGGGGCAAGGAGGGCGAGAAGAAGAACGGCAAGTACGAGAAGCCGCCCTTCAGCTACAACGCGCTCATCATGATGGCCATCCGGCAGAGCCCCGAGAAGCGGCTGACGCTCAACGGCATCTACGAGTTCATCATGAAGAACTTCCCCTACTACCGCGAGAACAAGCAGGGCTGGCAGAACTCCATCCGCCACAACCTGTCGCTCAACAAGTGCTTCGTGAAGGTGCCGCGCCACTACGACGACCCGGGCAAGGGCAACTACTGGATGCTGGACCCGTCGAGCGACGACGTCTTCATCGGCGGCACCACGGGCAAGCTGCGGCGCCGCTCCACCACGTCGCGCGCCAAGCTGGCCTTCAAGCGCGGCGCGCGCCTCACCTCCACCGGCCTCACCTTCATGGACCGCGCCGGCTCGCTCTACTGGCCCATGTCGCCCTTCCTGTCCCTGCACCACCCCCGCGCCAGCAGCACTTTGAGTTACAACGGCACCACGTCGGCCTACCCCAGCCACCCCATGCCCTACAGCTCCGTGCTGACGCAGAACTCGCTGGGCAACAACCACTCCTTCTCCACGGCCAACGGCCTGAGCGTGGACCGGCTGGTCAACGGGGAGATCCCGTACGCCACGCACCACCTGACGGCCGCCGCGCTGGCCGCCTCGGTGCCCTGCGGCCTGTCGGTGCCCTGCTCGGGGACCTACTCGCTCAACCCTTGCTCCGTCAACCTGCTCGCGGGCCAGACCAGTTACTTTTTCCCGCACGTGCCGCACCCCTCTATGACTTCGCAGAGCAGCACGTCCATGGGCGCCCGCGCCGCGTCGTCGTCCACGTCGCCGCAGGCCCCCTCGACCCTGCCCTGCGAGTCCTTAAGACCCTCTTTGCCAAGTTTCACGACGGGACTGTCCGGAGGACTGTCTGATTATTTCACTCATCAGAATCAGGGGTCTTCTTCCAACCCATTAATACATTAACAGCCCTGGGACCAGACTGTAAGTGAACGTTTTACACACATTTGCATTGTAAATGATTATCAAAAGAAATAAGTCCAGGTATTTTTTATTAAGCCCAGCCCCTCCCCACCTACCCCCACCCCCACCCCCACCCATTTCTGTACGTTTGTTCAGTCTTTAGGGTTGTTTATTATTCTAACAAGGTGTGGAGTGTCAGCGAGGTGCAATGTGGGGAGAATACATTGTAGAATATAAGGTTTGGAAGTCAAAATTATAGTAGAATGTGTATCTAAATAGTGACTGCTTTGCCATTTCACTCAAACCTGACAAGTCGATCTCTCTGAGCCGCCAAATTTCCATGTGTGCAGTATTATAAGTTATCATGGATCTAGGTGGTGGACGCAAACCTTGAGAACAGCCTAAATTATGGGGAGAGTTTTAAAATGTTAAACTGTAATTTGTATTTAAGAAGCATTTCGTAGTCAAGGTGCCCAGGAAATTATTTTGGCCATTTTATTGTTTTGTCCTTTTCTTTTAAGGAACTTTTATTTTTGTTTGTTTTGGTTTTGGGTTTTGTTTTGTTTGTTTACTTTTAGACCAAAGATTGGGTTCTAGAAAATGCACTCACTCGGTATGCTAAGTATTAAACAAAAGAGCAAACAAACAAAAAATCGAAAGTTGTTTCAGTTGGCAGCACTGCCCATTCAAATGAATCTGAATCGGAAGGGGACAAAATTAATGATTGCCTTCAGTTTGTGTTGTGTATATTTTGATGTATGTGGTCACTAACAGGTCACTTTTATTTTTTCTAAATGTAGTGAAATGTTAATACCTATTGTACTTATAGGTAAACCTTGCAAATATGTAACCTGTGTTGCGCAAATGCCGCATAAATTTGAGTGATTGTTAATGTTGTCTTAAAATTTCTTGATTGTGATACTGTGGTCATATGCCCGTGTTTGTCACTTACAAAAATGTTTACTATGAACACACAGAAATAAAAAATAGGCTAAATTCATATATATCTTGATACTTTTGTCTCCTTTTGTTAAATAGTGCTAATTTTTTGAAAGCCCATTGAGATGATAGGGACCCAAAGGCTCATTCAGCCAATCTAAGATTTAAACTGCTCCTCTGATTTCAACTGAGACTTTAAAAATGAAAATCGTACTTTTATCTGTTGTAGACCTACAGTTTACAAGGAGCAGGCTATTTAATGAGCACGACTTAAAAAAAAAAAGGATAGTCTTCTCAGTCGCTATCTCATAGTTTCTCTGGATATACAGCAAAAAGAGATCATTTAACTTTATGTGCATAGCTATTTACCCGGTGTTTATTTTCAAATCAGTTAATAGAATGCTTAGTTATATATATATATTGTTTTCCAGATATCTTGTTTATAGAACTTGGCAAATTATAAATATATATATGTGTATATGGTTAGATAGAGGTAAATATAATGCACACATATGTAATATATATAGAAACACAGAGCCCTTCAGTTCAGGTACAATTTGCGCTGCGAATGCTGCAAACATTTTTGTTTAAAATATTTGTATTTATACTTTCTAAGTCAGCATTTATTTTTGTGGCTGTTTACCCACAATGAAAGTTCTAATAAAGATGTGCTGAAGTTGCAATATAGATTTTGCTGAAGTTATCACCTGTTGTAATGACTTGCAGATCAATGTTTTTCTTTTAGTTTTAAGCTATAAAAATGTTAAATTCTAGATATTCAGAAGAAGAAAAACCCCTCTCCTTTAAAATATTTTTACAGTGCAGGGGGATCTATTTGGTTCCCTTTTGTGTCTGTATTATTAAGAGATTTGCTCCTTTGGCTTCCAGTGTCATCATTTTAACCTGATGTGCACGCATACTTACTCGTGCATTTCAAGTTAAAATGAAAAGTTGCAATATAGGAAATCTAAAACATTTAAAAAATTGTTTCAGGCAGCCCAATTGTTTTAACTACAGAAAAATAATTAGAAAACCCAAGTAAAGGGTTTACTAACTAATTGGATCCTGTGGTGAATCTGTGGTGGACAAGTTGTTCATTTGCTACAGTTCCATAGTGTGAAATGTATTCTGCAGTAATGCAATAAGCTGGATACTTTTTACAATGGGCCCAATGAAAAATAATCTGTCCTCAAGATGTTATCGGCAAACACTTAAGAGAGTTGCTCAGAAAAAGAAAAAGGGTGGGGGGAGGTCAAGGGAGAAACAAGCAAACTCACATAAGTTTGGAATTGAAATATGGAGTTGTTAATTTTGAAAAATTGGGGCTGGGGCTTGGGAAAAGGAGAGAGAGAGCCAGAAGAGCAGAAAGGATCATTATGCTTTAAAAAAAAGAAAAACCCCATCACTAAAGAGAGAGATCTAAGGCGGACAGATGTGGGCCAGGAAGATTTAAAAAGCAGGAACCAAATTTGCACAAAGAAGAAAGGACCAAAATGCATTCAAACTACATAGGCTTCTCTTCTCATAGTATGAGGCCTGAGGACGGGACAGTGATTTAGATTTCTTAAAATTTTAACAGGTCAGAAAGAAGAAGGGGAAACAATTCACTCCATAAATTAGTATTTTAAAAGCTAATCCATGACTGATTAAAAATAATAATAGAATCGAAGTAAATAAGATAAGCAAAGGAAATCCCTATTACACATTTGAGAACTAAAATAGCTCAAAGAAAGGCGTATGTTTAGCCTGACAAAAGTATGATGTATTGTTATTTTTGCATCGGATTTTATTTATGGACTGAAAATGTACTGTCACATGGCAAATAGTCTTTGACCTACTAAAAGTTAAATAGAACGTCAAACTCATGTTGAGGTAAAAGGATGGAGATAGACAAGAAATATTACCTGGCTCCATTAAACAACTATGTTTACTTATGTTAATACAGGTGTAATTCTGGATGATAGTGAAACCCAATTTCAAATGGAAAAAAAATTAACTGTCAGATTGAAAAGAATTCACTTCTCTGAATGGAAGTTCTGCTTGGACATGTCCGAGTGGCCTATAGATTGCATGTGGCTGGCAGTAAGAATGGCTCATTTCGTACACATGGAGACCTGAAAGAGGAAGATAAGAGGGAGAACTCTGTGAAGGCCTCCTGAGGCCCAGGGTGGACATTCTGGTCCCCTCCAGCTCTTCAAGCATCCCTTCAAAAAGCACTGGACAATTTAGGATGACCTTTAATGATACAGCTTTACATCAAATTGGTTGTAATGTTGTGTTGGTGGTCACCAATCTTTGCCAGTTAAAAGTAGCTGATGCCAGGGGAAAAACACTTCAAAACTTTTTAAAGCTTTTCTCTTTACTACTTACAGTTAGTTTCAATGGGATCAAAATTGTTATTTTTCCTCTCAATGATATTCTTTATTGATAAATATTACCTCAAGATTAGATAGAATAGCAAAATTGTTATTTTTGACCTATAACTGAAAGAGATCATAACTTAAATTTTGATATCTCAAATTAATTTTCATTTCAGGCTTAGAATATTTTACCTATACTTGTCTAGTAGGAGATTTTAAAAAAACATTAATATGTGAAATATAGAGAAAATAATTTAGTTAAATTTGAGCACTGACAGGATTCCTCCAAATAGCTCCCTCTCTCCCCCACTTAGGCATATTACAAAACTGGAAATCAGGGGAACATAAAATTCAGAACTAATGAAATTCAACACAACGATCATGATGGCTCTGGAGAGCTTCATGGGTTTCTGTGACTTGTATAAAATCAAGGCTAGAAATGGAAAATATTAGTCTTGGAGTGCATTGACTTAAATATATATTTCAGTTGGTGAATATTTTGCCCTCGATAACGATATAAATCCAATATATTTTGAATTCTAAATGTGTTTAGGACTCTAAGTATGATTTTTAAGTGGCGTTTCCCACCATATGGTTGAGGAATTTGCATGCATTGCAGTAATTTTCCTTTGGAGAAGTTAATTTTATGAAAGCTAAACTGGCTGGTTGTATTGCAGCCTGTTGGAGAATTAGGCTAACAAAGGGTGAAGGTGAAGATCATTAGAGGTTTTAGAGCTGGCTGAGAGGGGTTGTTGGGGTTGTGTAACCGTGCCTAGAGGGCGGGGTTCCTGCACAGTCCTACTTCACCAGATAACCTGCCCCCAACACCACTCCAGCTACTGCCAGACAGAGGGGGCTCTCCAGCACCACCATCTCTGCAGCCATGCCGACAAGCACGGTAGGTGAAACTTGAATTCAAATCTTTCTTCTTCCTCCCACCCTCCTTCTCCCCCCTTTCAATGATCTCCTTGAGGCCAGATCCCAGAGATGTGGCAAGAATAAAGGTCATCTAGATTCTGTCGCCGCACACACTCGGAGTTCGTTCATTCGTTCTAAGAGCTACCTACCTGTAAGAGTTCAAAGGCGTCTATCTCCAACAGTTTGTACGGATTTCTGTATTTTCTTGTGCGCGTGTGCGTTTTTTGTTTTTTTAGGCTTCAATTCTCTGGTTTCAACCACTCCCATTCTCTCCTCCCTTCACCTTTCTTTACCCCAAACACCAGCCATTAAAATAACCCATCTCTTCATGTTCATCCCTTCAATGGGCCCTTTACCCTCTCCAGCGGTCAGTTCCCATTCCTGGGACCTTGCCCTGAAGAAGTAGGCCTTGGGGGGCCCTGGGCTGGAGGACACGTGATAAGACATTTTGTTTTGAGTCTCTTTTTTCCCTCCCGATTTCTATCTTTTTTTCACCACACCCCCTCTCCATCCAAGACTGCGTGGCATCCTGCAGGAACGGATGACAAGGGAAGAAAGAGAAAGAGAGAAAAGACAGGAACCCCGGGAGGAGAGCACTCTTTCCTCAGGAGTGGTAAGTGAAGGGCTTGGGGGGGGGGTCTTCCTGACTGCTTTGTCTGAGTTTCTAAAACCTGGACCTAGAGGACAAGCTGAAGGGGCGGTCGGGGTGTCTTTAGCTGCTTACTACCAACAGCAATGGCTAAGAAGAAAGCCCCCCGCCCCACTCGGGCCTACAAAATGGCACCCCCAAGTTAAGAAGATGTAGGCAAGGCCTAAGGGGGGCTGGCAAGAAAACAGGGTGGATTGCTGTGGAGGAAGGCTAGTTCGTGGGAGAACGAAGTTATCCGTGCGAGGGTACAAAA